AAAAAAAAAAAACTGAAAAAGAACAAGAAAAGCCTCCAGCTGAACCAGCTGTTCTTCACAACATTTTCCTGCAGAACACATAAAAGGGCAACCAAATCAGCCAACCATCAGAGCAAAGAAAGCAAAAAAAAAACCATATTAAAGACACGTGCTTTATTATCCATACTTTCAAGAAAGATGATAAAAAAAAAAGGGAGACAAAAAGGAGAACAACCAAACAGGGACCAAGAAAAACGAGGTTAAATCATCATCATACATGGTTAAAATCAAACAATCATTAGCCAATAGGGACCTCGACAGTTCGACAAGAACCAAGCCTGCAAAAAGAAACCAAAGGAAAAATCGAAAAGGACAGAAGAAAAAGAAGGGCTCGAATAGAAAAGAAGAGAGAATATTTGAGAGTGAAATAGCTTAGGCCCGCAGAAGGAGGAACAAGAAATCAACATCTGGGGCAGCCTCAGGCCTCTCAAAATCTCCCGACACAAGGGCCTCAAAAATCTCCCGACCTTGTGTCCTGTTCTTGGTCAGGTGCAAGCCACGCGCCCCTTATATTGCGGGTCTGTGATTTCTCCAGAAATTTTGTTGCATATTTGAAATTTATTTGATTACAATATAGTAAATAAATACTACATTTTTTTTTTATTCTTTTTTGGCTCCCGATTAAGGTTAATCATCGTCAAGGATGTTAAAAATGGTTCGGAGAATTTTCAGGGTTCGACATCACATGAAACGAGACGGTCCGGCGGGAGTTGGGTTCGTATTGACTTAGTTAAAAATTTTGAGTTCAGTTTCGACTCGACGAGTGTCGATTTCACTTAGGGCTCGGATCGTTAAGAGTCGTCGAGTTCGAAAAATATAGGCCTTTATGTAATTTTCTCAACTCTTAAGCATCAATTAGTTAATGTTTACGTTTGGCTTGCTACTTTTATTGAACAAACCAAGCTCGAATTTGTTTATTAGTTCGTTTTGTTAGTGAGCCGAGCGCGAGTATATCAATTCGACAATATTTTGCTTTTGGTCATTTCTTACTTTATCTTATTTGATTCATTATGACATGTATTGTATGATATGTTATGTATATACACCAGATTCAAACAACTTCCACATATATTGCTTGTTATTCCTCTGTATGATCCCCATTTTTCGTAATGCTCTCTCTCTCTCTCTCTCTCTCTCTCTCTCTCTCTCTCTCTCTCTCTCTCTCCACATCATCATCATAATCATTTTAATTTATCTCAATTTGATTCTTTTGAGAGTACTTACACATCTTTTCTGCAGTTGTTGATAGGTATATAGGCAAAGGATTTTGATTCATATATAGCTGATGAAATTGGAGTGGAATTACCATGACCATTGTACCTTCCCCATTGATTTCTGTACATCCACAGGACCTCAAGTTCCAATGTATATATATCTATGCTTTCTTCCTCAATTTATATATATAGCTGCGTGTGTGTGTGCGTGTGCCCGCATGCATGCATCCGTGTTCATTGTCAACGAGCAATTTTGTTTCTCGATCGTTAGATTTTGCTTTGAATAATACTAATTTTGTCGAACATTTTTATGAATAATGTATGAGAGTAAGTAAATGTTATCCTTGTTTGTTATTTTTTAGGTTTTTCTAAGAAGGAATGTTGTTTTCATATGACAAATGGCATATGAGGTTCCTTAAATTGTCTATATGCCTGTTTCGCATTCAATTATTCATCGAGTAAATGCACGGCGACAATTTTATTGGTTCTTAAAAAAAAAAAAAAAGCGAAATAAACGTGCCATGTATCGTAATTACTGCCAAAAAAATGCATATAGATTAAAATGAGTTAGTAAGTTTTGACTTTTGAGTACTTCAATCTACTAAATTCGAATGGCAAATTCACTTATATTGCATGTTAATCTTAGTTGCACATTAATGCATGTGAGTTAATTCAGTTCTATGCCATTAATTTGCTGACTCTATTAGTTCTTGTGTTAGTCGAGTTGGAGAAACCGAGCTATTGTGATATTAGAGTTACGAATGACTCAGAGCATCACGTTGCTTTCAAGGTACGAATGCACGTACACAATCTATTTAAGGATTACATGATCGCGCTTGCTTTTACGTATATATTCAAAACTTTGATTTTTCAAATTTACACATCTTATCTTCTTCCAAATCGTATATCAATAGAGTTAAATCTGAAAGACTTTTCTCATTGTGATTGCCAAATTAACTTAGGTGAAAACTACCTCGCCAAAGAAGTATTTCGTTCGACCAAATACGGGTGTCTTGCACCCATTGGATTCTTGTGTCATAAGAGGTGATTATAGAGGCTATATATATATATATATATATATATATATATATAAATTTTATTTAATATTATCAAAGGCCAAATTGAAATTAATATATATGAAAGAAATTCTTAGATAAGTTTGTTCCTATAATTTATGTAAAAATAGCTTACCAAAATGTGTTTGTGTTGAAAATAGTAACATTGCAAGCTCAAAGAGAATACCCTCCTAACATGCAATGCAAAGACAAATTTCTCCTGCAAAGCACGGTTGTACGTCCGGGTACTAACACGGACGAGCTTCCACAAGACACTGTAAGAAGATTAATTATTAGTCGATGACGAAGAGCTTGAATTTGTTCGTATTATTTCGTAGCTTGTGATTCACCTAATCGGAATTTAGGGTTTTTGTGTTCCAAAGATTTGGTATTTGTGTGTGCAGTTCAATAAGGAAGGTGGTAACACATTGGAAGAGTACAAGCTAAGAGTGGTCTACATGATTCCTCATTCAGCCTATGCCAATATTGGAGATGGTTTTAGCCAAAATCTTGATATGGTTAGAGATTTTCTCTTCTACTTTTATATATAACTTTTTATATTTCGCATATCGCATGTCATAACAGTTGGTTCTATAGTGAAGTCAACTTTCTCTATACAACAAGTAAACCATACCGTATTAATAAAATTTATTTAAGTTGTCAGAGAATATGATATAATTTACTTGTTGTATATAGAAGGTTGACTCGAGCCAACTGTTGACTTCATAGCAAAACTGGTTGTTATATAGACATAATCGTTGACTAATCATATTTTTTTTTTTTTCAAAAAGTATTCACATTTTTTTCATATTGAAATATCAAAACTTAAATAAACATGTACCAAATTTTAAATAAACATGTATGTTATATCATAGTACATATATATATATATAAATATCTATTTTCATTAAAAGGGTATAATAAGTCAACTCTAACTATTGGGTCGTCTCATATTTGTGTTCTAGATTTTTTTATATGACCTTCTGGTGTGACTTTGATATTTTAACCAAAATTCAAAGAAAAGTAGGTCTCTTAAAGATGGTAACCATGTACATGATGCAAATTCTTTTTAGTCTTTACAAAATGAGTTATCTTTATTAAGTGACATTTAGATTTTTTATGTTTTGTGAATTTTAAAAATTCAGATTTCGGAGGAATCTTATGAAATTTTATGTCTGAATGTAACATTTGGATTGATATTTCGTATATGGTTTTTTTCTTTTGAAATCACAAGAAATTAATCTAAAAAATGTCCTAATAAATAACAGTTTCAGATAAGTTAAGTACCTCAAATATCGTAAATTTTTTTTAAAAAAAATCTCAAATGAATACCAAAAAGATTTTTAAAATTATCAAAAGTCTAAATTAAATATTCCGATATTTTAAAATCCTAAAAATTCTTTAAAAATCCAATATGAATACAAATCCCTAATTTGACCTTTCTAAGCATTAGTTAATTGATGTTTTGATAATAATTGTTCCTCTACTTTTGTCTAGAAATGTTATTTTTTAACCAAATAATATTGTCACCATCTTATTATGGTTGTTCTTGCACAATTTTTTTGCATTATTTAGAGAGTGGAATATTTTATGGAAGTCCAACTTTAGGATTATTTATTTATTTTTTTAAAAATGTTGTAACATATATTTTTTTTTTATTCTTCACATTAATTCAATAGGATTTGCAACACCTAAAGGACGAAAGAGATGCTGCTGTAACGCAAACACAAAGGCTACAACGTGACTTGGTTGGTTTATCTCCTCTTTTTTAGTTCACTTTCTTATTAACTGCATTGATAAGTTAAAAAAATATAATTTGGTAATATAATAATAATAAAATGTGTGTAAAATGAAAATGATTGACCTGATAATTGGGTCGCAAACGAGTCGAGCGACCTGCGATCTCAAGCATTTCGTATTTGAACACGAGATCGAGCCTGTAGTTTGTATACGCTTAATTAGCGTTCCACGAATCGCTTGAATATATGTAAAATTACCTAAATACCCCTAACTTGATCTTGAGCGTTTGTGTTTATTTGTCAAGTCGAGCCGAGTCTCGAGCAAGACGGGCTCGTCGAGCTCGAGAAAATGTCAAACAAATCGAGCATGGTTCGATAAGGCCAATATTCGACTTCACTCGACTCACACAAGTACACCAATTAACATTATGTGAAATAATCATTAAATAAGTTATCTATTTCACAATTTTTTGTGTAAGACAGTATAAATATTAGGCGTTTCGATCCGTCATGACTAACGATAAATAATTACTTTGTTATTGATGATTATACTAATTTTTACTTTCATTTTTTTTTTTAATACAAATAGGAAGTTCTTAAGAGGCGAAGCCATAAAACGAGTGCTGGATTCTCCATCAAATTCACACTTGTTGTGGGATTCATCGGAATCACAGTGGGTTTCCTTATGAACATATTGTTTTCTTCAGATTCTTCTAAATAAGATGATATATCATATATGTAGATATAATAACGGAAAATGCCAGTCCCATTAAGCAACCATTCCGTCGGAATTTGTAACCATCAGATCATCATGTAATTGTCGTGGATAATTGACCTAACGGTTACAAACCCCAACGAAATAGTTTCGTAACGGGACCGTATACTCTCCCTATAATAACAGTCTTAAATCAACAACTTTGTTATATACGTAATTGTTCATCATTGACCTTTTTTTCATTGTTAATGTAATATTCAGTTTGTTTTGTTTATTTGATTGTTGGTTAGTTTAAGTTAATTATTGTTTGATCACCTAAATTTGAATTGGGACCGAAGTATAATTCAATTTGATAGTAATTTTATTGGCCAGCTAATTAAGGAAAAAGTTTCGACTACAATATGTGATCGCATTGTTGGTCACACCACACTATTCATAAATATAAATAATAAAGTTATTTCATGTGACACATCGTACTGTGGCATGGCTTATGACGCCCGTATAAACGTCATAGAATTTATGCATTTATCAAAATGAAAAAAAAAGAGGCAAAACCAATTAGGTCGTCAATTGTACAAAAAGGGTCAAGTAAAAAAGATGGCAAGTCTTAACGACGAGTCAAAATTTTTTGCAAGGTGAGTATTAAAATAACTTCAATATATGTTGTTTTGATAGTCAGAATAATTTCAATATATGTTGTTTTGATAGTCAGTAAATTTTCAGTATACGTTACGATTTTATTTACATATCTCTAGTATAATACTCGTGTATTGCACGAGTGTTGAGTTAAGAGATATATGATAAAAGTTATTGCTAAGATAAATTTTTTAGTTAAGAATTTTGATGGGCTGATTGTTGAAAAAAAAAAACCGTGCAAAGTGATTTTTAAATCCTAATTTAGGAGAAAAATATGGTAGCAAATTTTAGTATGTAAGATTGCTACTTGTCCAAACTAAGGATTAAATGTGTACTAAGAGAAAAAATTAATAATAAAATTAAATATACACTTATCAAGTTTGAAAAAAGTTATATATATCTAATATACCAAGTCTAATTCCAAAGCAAAAATGAATATATAAACAACATTACGAAACATATATTTTTGTCATGTCAGCATTCGAAGCGGTTCAATATGTTTGAATTAATATATCGAGAGGGATTTATCCGCCCGTCGCCTCCAATTTATATTTAAACATCACTACATCACCATCATCCCTTCCTTCCTCCTCTCGCCTTCGCTAAACTCGTTGGCTGCAGAAGTGCAAGAAAATCGCCGGCCTAAATTGGCTCAATTCCTATTTCCATCGGATCAGCTAGCTCGATCCCGATCCCTCTATCAACCTCTTGACAAGTAGCAAGTCGGAAAGTATAAATTGATTGATATTATTTAATTATATTAATAATATACATCAATTTATTACTATAAACAAACATAACCTCTGTTTGCTTTAGTTCAATATTTTGCAGAAAAATAAAAAAAAAAAATAATATACAAAGATTAGGAGGTGTCGCATTTTAGTGCCCTCATCGCCGGCGGATCGAACTTACCAGGGTTTTGTCCCGTCTGTTTCGCACAAATTACCGCCGTTTTCATGTTCGCCAACCCTTGCTTTCTCGCGCTGCCGTCTCAGCCATCTTCATTCTCAGCAGAGCTTAGAAACAAATGTACTGAGTCATGGCATCTCCGCCACCTCTAGATGCTCACACGACGGCGAGCACCCCAAAATCCCACTTTAAGCGAACGGTGAGATTTTTCAGCTTGAATTTCGTATTCTATAAGTAGTTGTTTTAATTTAAGTTTTACTGTTTTTTTTTTTGCCCTCAATCGAAGGTTTGTTTGGCCGATTGGTGGTTGGTTAAGGCCGAGAACGACTGCCAAGGGAGACGACTTGCAGTCTCCGGCTACACCAGTCGAGGGTAAGTTCGCTTGTTTTTTTTTTAGCAAGTTTTGTTCTTTGGGCTTATACAATAATTATGCAGCGAATAATAAGATTTCTTATTAGAACAAAGAAAAAAGTGGAGATTAATTTGGTGTTTCGGTGGGGAAATACTCGAGTTCTACATTTCTGGCTCAGTTGAGTGAATGCAGTTCTGAAAGCTTTGATCATTCTATTAGAGATACTAACAAATCAACAAAACAATCGTGTCGATTTCGCAAAGAAAAATATGTTAGGTAACTAATTTACTTGGTAATTCACAAGATTATGTCCATATCATGTGAAAAAACTAGGGACAGGTTAATTCTCATCATTTGTGTTATTTTTAATTTTTCTGAAATGATTTCCGCCAAACACTTCCTTGATGGGCACTTCCATTAGTTTTTTGGTTAGATTGCTTTTTCCTGCAATCCTTATCCCTGTTGTCATGTTCGAAACCGTTATTGTATATTCATCAAACCAGAATAACTGGCTATGAACATTATGTGGCTCTTAGAATTACAGTCATCCCGTTCAATTTGTCAAATGTCACTTTTATCTTCAAGAGTGTCTCCGAGACAGATTATTTGTTAGCTTCAGTTTAATAATTGTCTTGGTTTGTTTATTTTCGAATTTGTAGCAAAAAATAGGATTTCATTTACTCTTTTGCTACCAGGAATGAAGCCATGAGAGTCTTTTCATCTGCCCCAATCATGAAGAGGTATGATGTTTTCACTGTTGAGACTGCGGATGGGATATGCGTCATGTTCAAAGGATTCATAAACAAAAATCTCACAGAAGAAAATGGATTTCCAGCTGACGTAAGTTAACAACCTAGCTCATTACATCTTTTAAGTGGCCTGGTTCAAGTATAAGTAATGTGATTGACCATGTTTCTTTTTTGCTTGACGTATTTGGAAATTTGATTTTGTCCAGTTTGCATTTCATAAATGATATTGTTTTCTGAATGATCGAGTGGACTATGGAAGTAAATTTTCTCTGTAGATTGCTCCATGTAAGCATGCCTGATTCTAGCTGACCTTGATTTTCAAATGGGCTTTGGTGGGTAAAAATTCAAGAATTTTCATTTCACATTAAGATCAAGTTCCAAAATTTCATGATATATGGATGGGGGGGTGGAATTTCAGATTTCCTGACATCAAACGTGCTGTTGGATCTTGCAAAGTCTCCTTCGAATTTCTAGAATATCCTTGATAATTTTCAATGAGTTTCAGAGTTTGCCAAAATTTTCAGATCTTTTGGTCTTAATATTACAAACATGGATTATTCAGGATTTTAAATTAACTATTGAACCTGACTTAGAACGAGTGACTTAAATGTAAACATGGAAAAGGTTTAGTAAAAAATATATCTCAAATAATATGCCTATAATAGTTATAAGGTGCTTTGGATCTAAACATTTCAGTTTGAGAAATGCAGCCTACTATTGGTATATAAAGTAATGAAAGTATAAATTATGGACTACAAGGCCAAAATTTTGCACAATACTCTTAGAGAACCCATCCATAGTGGTGTGTACCAGATATACAGATTGCCATGCTTTCCAAATGGATATGTTCTTCCAATATAAGGACTTAGGAGTCATTATGTCACCACATGACACCATAGCTATTTTTTTTCCCCTTTGCTGCCCTTTGATTCTAATTTTTGAATGCTTGTTGAGTGTGTTTGCGTTTTAAAGTTTTCCAAATGATGGGATTGTTGTTTATTGATTTAGTATTGGAGGATGATCTGATTGAAACCTTCGTCATTTTATGATGAGTATAACTGTCTCAAACTATGCACCATAATTATAAGATAAAGATTTTATTAGGTCATAACATCATACACCTTGATTGGATGTGTAATTAAACACCAATATTCTTGATCCTTGTTTCAGATCTAATGCATGCTGTTAGATCTTAAGTTTCAGATGCTTGACATCTAAAAGTTTGTTTGGTGTTATAAATTAGCAGTTTCATTGAAAGAGTAACCCAATATTCAGCTATGATAACTGCCTTCAGATGTTCATCAACATGGATGCTTGAAGATGTCAAAGATGGTTCTATAGAATATAAGCAGATATTCAGCTACATCAACATTCACCTTGTGTGAAAAATGTTTTGCATGATTAAAGTAGGTTCTATTTTATGTGAGATAGAAAGTAATAAAGAAATATCTGTTTTTGCAAAGACAAATGTGTTGTTAATAATTATGTTAGGTGTTAAACTTTGAAAATGAACAAATTGTTGATACCCATTTCCTGATGATCATAAATTTTTTACTTATTTTATGCTGCCATGCTGTGCTGTAGCACATTTCCAAGCTTAAGACATCCCTGTCCTGAATGCATTCCTTTTAACTAGTTGTTTCTTTCAATCGAATTTGTCTGAGAAGCTGTTATTCCCTCTCATTCATTTCTGCAACAGGTATGCAACCATTTTGTTTACGGATTCCCGCCATACTGGAAGGAGCTTGAGGAAACTATCATGGGTAAAGAATCTTCTTGTAAGGTTTTAGGATTTATCCTCTTGAAGAGTCTATCACCTAAATCTGAAATCACATTTTATAATTTCATGCCATCTGGGTGAAGTCTAATTGCTGAAAATTAAATAGGGAGTTTTTCATTCAATCATGTGTTCCTGCCCTTTTTTTTTTTTTTCTGATTTTCCCAATTTTTCTACAGCTGAAAGTCGAAACCCATCCGTAGACAACTGTGGAAAGGATTTGGCGGCACAATACTTACAACATGAGATCGATATCCCAAGAGCGCAAAGAGGCAATAACAATGGATCTTCAGCTGTTCCACCGGGCATGGCTAAAAATTCCGACTCCGTAATTAATGGTTCTGAGTATAAATTATCTCTTTCTGGCCTTTCACCTGAAAGGTTTGAGAAGGAATCTTATCCTAGAACCCGTAATGTTGAAGATCACACTATTCTCGACGGGCATGTGGACTGTGGGAACACTGCAATGGAGTTATTGTCAGACTCGAGCATTGAGGCAAACATTGGTGTGTCAGCTTTTACTGATAAGGGTCTAGAAGATACTAGAGGTGATGCTAGTGGAGGAATCATTTTGGCATGTCAATTACGTAATAAGCCAACTGGTGACCTGAAGGAGATGGAGCTGGACAAAGGCAATTGCAGGAAGGCCAAATTGGATAAGGGCGTGAACAACACATCTCGAGAGAGTTTATCCCATACCGTGGGTAGAGCGAGAACACGTTCAATGACGAGGTTGAGAATAACAGAAGAAAGCAAAGAAAAATCTGGTAGAACATTACCAGGTCTGACGATGGAGTCAGATCGTGTTTCATCTGTGGGCCCCAAAATATCAACATCTGTTGATTGTGAACCTAAAGAAGGAAGAGGCAGTGAGAACTTTGAGGTTTTTGAATTTATTGGGGATAAAGATGAAATAGAATCGAGCAAAACTGATGTTGACTGTGTTAAGGATGAGGAGTTGGAAATTTTGAGGAGTTGTGAAAGGGATAATGATGTTAGAAAGGTTAAAAATAAAGGAGACATCAATAAGGCGAAAAGTGGAGGGTCTAGTTCAACAGATCTGCTTGCTGCTACAGATAATCGAGAGGATAATGTAGTTCCTGATGTACATACTTTACCAGATAGTGCAAAATCATTGGACAAGAAGACCAGAAGAAAATTAGAAAATGTTAGTAAGCTTTTCAGTTCTTTCTTTCTTGCCAACATTCTTATGGTGACAGGATAATATCTCATGATTTGTACAAATTACCTGTAGTTTTCTATGCTTGAGATTGCAACTTCGTAATAAAACTAAAGCTGCTAATAGAATAGAAAGAAAGGTACCATAGGATTCAAGTAAAGGCATGAAAATGCCACTTTGAAAACTATATCTAGTACCCTTGACAGCCTTCAGATATTGTATCCTTACGCAGGACATATATGTATATGCTCTATTCAAGGGTTGATTCCATTGCAAAATGTGGAGGCTTTGTGTTCCAAATTTTGATCATAACACTACTCTGTCGACCCCTTGTGTCTAGGATTTACAGTCAATTATGTTAATTTCGGAGGATTTCTACATATAGAGTTACTCTTTGGTAATCCTTCATTTTTTTTTTTGTGTTTTTTATCCGTTGTTTAGGTAACTCCAAAAGGGGAAAAAGGTAAAGTATGTATTTCACCTCAGGGTATGAGTTTTAGCCGATCTAAATCAGGTTAGTATATTTCTTGTATCTCACATCATTATACATCGATGCAGTGAGTCTATAAATTCTCAATTTAGTATTTATCACTCTATCCGTCAATCAACATAAGGAAACTTGATAAATTATATAGTTACATTTTTCTTCATTGAAATATTTCCAGGGAGATTGCGGATGCCTAGCTTGGAATTTTGGCGTAACCAAAGAGCGGTTTATGATCCGGTTAGTCTCAACTTATATTGTATGACTTCAAGTTTGCTCATTTACCTCTTCAATGTGGATTGATCAAAATGATTATTAGTGCACTGGGCAAGGGTCTAATCAATCAAGCAATTAAGCAACTATCGAAACAAGAGATTTTAAGATCTGGATTGAATGCCTTTCTAATATATTACTTGCTTGCCTCCTTTATTATTACCTTTTATAATCACATCGGATTTAATATCAATATAGGATGCTAGTAGGGACAAGGTAGGCTATAATAATCAGATTGTAATAGCTTGGACTGTCGAGCAGATTAGCCTTTTGCTGCAGAATTATTTTACTAGAATGCTTCAAGCAAATGGGTACTATTAATCGAGGTTATATATTCTAATATCAACATCTCTTGATTCTTTACTCCATTCTGCTGGACATTGAATAATAAATTCTGCATCATCTTCATGTCCAAAACGTTATTGGTACATCATTACATAGTTGATTATTGATGACCTGAGTAAAGGTCCTACAATCTGAATATTTTCCGAAAACTGATATCAAATATGGGTTTAAAAAAACAGGATGGAACACTTACTGGAATTAAAGGCATACTCCCTGATCAGCAAGGAAAAGGTATGTTCGCTGAAATCCATCTGGTTTCTGAACATGCGATTATGTGCATTGGTGGGTATTTTTGTTTGCTCGTGGACCATGGTGGAAGTACTATGCCCCAAAAAGGGAAAACTTAAAATTTTGTTACGGATAACTACTGTTTAATGTAATCTTTTCAAGGTAGAAGCCGTAAAATCTGAGCCAGGAAAGTTTGTTTTGAATTTCGTGATGGCAGTGTTATGCCCCATGCTGGAAAACCTTGATATCCGAGCTTCTTCTTCTTTTTCTTCTTCTCTTTTTACCCGACCGATTGGGCTAGCCCGGTTAACATCTTTGCGTTTTTTTTTTTTTTTTTTTTTTTTTTTTTTTTTGGCAGGAAGCTCATCTCCGTCCAAAACAAAGAGAAGAAAAGCAAGGTGAAGGGTATCTTGCCACTGTAGTATTTGTTAATAAGCTTTACTCTTTATGTTGGATTTAGTTGGAATGCCACTTTTTAGGACGGTCTGTATGTAATTGAAGTTTGAGTATCTAATTTAAGTTTGAGTTTAAGAGTAATGCTCCTCTACCCACGGTGGGCACATGTTAATATGTCCATCGCTTATGTGGCATGCACACATTGGTGATGTTAATATTTTTGGGCACATGTTAATATGTCCATCGCTTATGTGGCATGCACACATTGGTGATGTTAATATGTTTAAAAAAATACATCACCAATGTATGCATGCCACATAAGCGGTGGACATATTAACATGTGCCTTACATGGGTATGTAAGGATTTTAAAAAAGAAAAAATCTTTTCCTTTTCTTTCAACAGACCAAGTAACCATTTTTTTTTTTTTCAAATGAATATATTAATTTGTCAGCGATCTTAATTACTTAAATAAGTAAGTTAGATTAATTGTCTAATTGTGTAAAATATAAAATAAAGAAAATTGCCTTAGTTGCAAAAATTGAGGTGGGACGTTGGAGATGATTTTGCTGTTTGGTGCTAAAGTTGCACCAAAATAGTGTAGAAATTGAACCAAATTGCGCAAACGGTCGGATATGGCCCAAGACTCTTAGGATTATTATTAATTTTTTTTTTTTTTTAAACTCCCTCAATCAGAGTTTTAGGTAAAAATAAATTTAACATTCTTTCTTTAACTTTGGTATATAAAGTTTTAAAGTTGATAAATTATTTTTTAAACTAGAAACTAACAAGAAAAATAAGATTTCAAAATGACACGAAAACTTCTCAACTCAATTATTGATGAACAATCAATGCATATCGAAGATAAGTTATGATTTATGATGAATAATAGATTGACAAATAAGTAATAGCCTAATAGGCATCATCTTGTATGTTTCGACAATACTCTATTAAAATTGTATAAAGAAATAAAATGTTAAAAATTGATATATTGAGTAATTTTAAAATCCTTGAATAAATGTTAAATTCGATTCAAAGTTATTGTTCATTTAGTTAAAAAAGTTGGTAGATAGAAAACTTGCAAACTTCAAAATTTATTTCCATTATAAATTTTTAAAATTATATATATTTTAGATTAAAATATTTTTTTCTCAAAGTTTAACAAAACAACTTTATCTAGATGCAAAAGTGATAAGAATTGTTAAACAAAATGAGTCACTCGTGACCGATGAAGTCGAGTCATAAAACAACTTTATCTAGATGCAAAAGTGATGAGCGTTAAAACAAAATGAGTCACTCGTGACCTCTGGTCGGCTCAACTACATTGTTAAGACTTTAAAATATTATTTTTTCACAATATGACTTATCGACTTGTTTATTAGTTAATGAGTTGTGCTGGAGCAATAGAAACTCTAGCTTAGGTGGGTAACATTCTATTTATATCTTTTTTTTGCGATACGTAACTATCGTGACATGCCCACCAATAGTCGTTCAAAATTAGGCCGGCACAACCATTGGCCATCGCCATCGCCAACAATCGTCAACTCATGGACTTCGTTGAGCAACCCATAAGTTTATTCTGAGACTTGATGAGGAAGACGAAACCATCAACAATAACTCCAACGATGGGGAACCAGATGGGGAGCCACGTCAGTAGAGGAGCTCATCTTCATACATTTCGTCTTCTTTGTCGTCCTTATCCTCCATCGGCTCCTCCGATTCATATCCCCATGTCCTTCTCATCCAATGGTAGCAACATCCATCGAAGCGAGGAAGATAATGACGATAATCACGGTGATTTAAGGTCCTCTGCCGGCAATAATCACACATATAGCTGTAATGATGATAGTAATTCAATTGAGATTTTTAAACCATTTAAGATTTTTAAGAATTTGGTGACTTTGGTGGTCTGTGTAAAAATCTTATGACTTTTGCGATCATTTTCAGACTTTTAGAGAATTCTTATTAGAGATTTTTTAAAATTTTTATCATGGACTTTTTGAAACTTACTAAGACTTTATATACTTGTGGTTATAGCTATTACGTTTGCACGAAATGTTCATAAACGGTGCATAACAATTAATATCACTACAATCCAGCTATTTAAAAAAAAATATTAAGCTGAAATGAGTTATGATCATCAGTTATTCAACAAGAACAAAAGAAAAAAAAGTTTTATAAATTAATCCTCTAAAAAATCATGAATTAAAACGGTTCAATATGAGCATCGTGAACACAACTCGGTTCTGCTCACCAAAACTCAAGTTGGACTCATATGTTCTCTTATATAAAACGAGCTTAAACAACTAGTTGAACTTTTTTATTAAACTAATTGAAGTGAGTTTGTTCACGAACAATTCACGAACAACTAATTGTATATTTTTTTTTTTTTATAAAATAAACAATTGTGTCCAACTTGTTTGAAAAAATATTTCTATTTCACGAACAACTTTAAGGTTGTAATTTTATTAAAGAGCAAGCCGATCCAAGCTTTCACGATCTTCAACAAGTCGAATTCGAACAGAGCCTTATATTCATTTATTAAACGAGCAAAATCTCAAACACGAGATACTTGTCTCGGCTGCAATGACACTTATAATCAACACAGTCATGATATATTTATCTAATATTATTTTTATTTTTTTGCATCATGTTGCAGTATTCGAGGCTGTTATTAGGATATATTTTTACAAGATACAAACAATGTTAAAAAAATATATATATATATATTTTCTAAGTTATCGAGAATACTCTTAATAATTTTATATCAAGAACCAAACGTTTAGGGTCAGTTTGGTTGGGCATATTAAGAGTGATATCAGTTAATTCAATATACTATCAAGACGTTTAACATGTTTGGTTGAGAGCTTCAAAGCCCTGAAAATTGCTATTGGCCCGGTCAATTATCCTTTAAATTATTAATACCTCATCCCACCAATTTAAGTGGATACAATATCCTACTACTCCATTTAATGCCCCCATCTCTGTCAACCCAACACTCCGCTAGAGAGCCATTGGAGGCAAAATGGAGTTTTGCCTACCTAGGAGATGTCGTCGTCTTCACGGTTCTAAATTTGGATGAATCTCCAGCGAATTTGTGGTGTTTATGAGATTTTTCGGCAGATCTCTGTCGAAGGCGGGTCGGTGCACAATTCTCGTGGTCGTCTGGACACAAGTTCACCTGCCTGAGGTGATCATTGTGGATCAAGCCCGGACAAGTACAGCTAGATCGAGAATTACGTTTTATTGCTTCTGTGTTGTGGCAATTTGTCGAGGACAAGAGCTTGACAATGGATGATGAATGCTTTATTGCTTCTTGGATCTTGAATTACGTTTTTTAAGGCACAATTGCTTGTGGGTCACAACAATATCTGAGTTGCAGCTTCTCTGTTCATACATGATTTTTGAGAATTACCTCTATTCATAAATTAATTTTGAAATTTTTTGTTATGAATTTTGGGAATTGCCTCTGTTCATATGAATGAATATAGAACATTACAACTCATATTTGGGTTGAGCCCAAAAAATAACCAAACAAGTTAATGAAATGGATTACATCACATGAATTACCTAGGGAAACAAAATTAGATAGTGAAATAAAACACATATTTCAATACTTGAAAATAGAAATTTCAAACAAAAAAGAGAGAAAATAAATTATTGGTTGGTGCAAACTGCAAACTAAACAAACTAAACAAACATTTAGTATTTGAAAAGTCAAATCATAACAAACAAATGAGAGGATAAAAATATACACACATAAATAATCATCATAAAAAATAAATTAAAACAAAATCACGCTAAATAATCGTGATAAAAATAATAAATTATACAAGTTATCAAAATAAATGAGTAAGATACCAGAATACGAAAGTGATGTGAGATATAGTCGTCGTGTAGTATAGAGAGAAACGAGTTTGAAAAGAGTTGTGCGATTCCAGCAAAATCTCACTAATATAGTGAAATTTCTGTTAATACTTTGTTTTTGTAATTTTGTTAACCAAGCGTCTTATAATTTAAAAAGTCTCATAAACTCTTTCTGCTTCGAGTACCGAGTAACTTACAAAAACCTTCCATAAATTTTTAATTGAACATGTTATACTTTTTAGAGATTCGTAAGAAGTTTTTAAAAATCTCATTTGAATACATGTCAGACTTTTTTAGAAGTCCCAAAATTTAAATACACATAATTCTAAGAGCTTAAAAAAAATTCTTCAAAACTTTTGATTGAATGCTAACAGTCACTATTGGATACCAATACCCACTAACAGTCTTCAAAACCTTGATTTGAGGTATTATATATTCTTTGTTGGGATTCATCATGCTCTTGTGCTAGTCATAATTTCAAAAACCACATCAATTGCTCATTTTTTGTAAGTGCCATGCATGAATATATATCACTGTTTCAGTATGTACATGTGTTTGTATAATTTGTGTCATTGTGTGTGTATATATATATATATATATAGCTGTGGTTTCTTTTACATGTCTTTGTTCTTATGATCTTGTATACACAGTTTTGCTTCCGGTACGGAATATGAACAGTCACACACAAGGAGGTTTTGGGCGTGGCCGCCGGAAGAGCTATGGTAGAGGACAAAGGCAGAGCTATGGTTATGGTCGTCAGATGCTCTATAATGCTCCTCGACGGGATCATCAACGTTTCGTGTCCGAGTTCAAATTCTCAAAATATGAAGAAACATTAGCCAGAAAATCCATTCATTTTCAGGAGGTAAATAATATTTTGTATAGTTTGTGATTAATGAGTATTGTTACTTATTTTTATGTTTGTTATTAATTTAAATCTTTTGCATTTTGGAAATAGCCCTCTGAACTTGCTTGCTTCAGTCGGGTAGAAGGTGGGGATGTCTACTTTGACGATCATCGCAGTTTGGTGAGCTGCATTTCTCCTTTTCATAAGAGTTCCGTTGATAACTATAGCTGTTAAATTAAACGAGCCGCCGCTCGTGAGCTCGGGCTTGGCTCCTTTGATAAACGAGCCGAGCGCAGTTAATGAGCCGGGCTCGACTCGATATGGTTCGGAAAGATGATTTTTATGTATTTTTCTATAGTTCGACTTGATTTGGCTCGAACTCGGCTCGTTTACACCCCTATTGATACTTTTTTGTGTTTGTAGATGCTTTTTAAGCGGCTTATAACTGAAGATATTGGTGCTGACTTGAATGAGGGTTTTGATACTTTCATTGCCAAGAAAGGTATGCAATAATGCACATTTGCCAATTGCCCTTTTTGTGCTTCCAAATCTAGTTTGCAAACACATATCTCTGCTAAGTGTGTGGTCGACTTCATTGGTCGCACCAGATCGAGGCTCTCAAGGATTTGGTGACCTCCTTGCTACAATAAGAAATAAAAATATTGCTCTTCAAAACATGCACTTTGTGGTAAGGCACTACCCAACATCATATCTTTAACTTTCATGCATTTTCGGAAAGGTGTTCTTTGAGGCCGTTGACATTAATTTTCCTTTCTGTTGCAGACTTACCGTAACAACTTAAACAAGGTAATCGTTGCTCTTCTTCGGTTTTGATGCTGAAAACAAGTTTTGTCTGCTAGTTACTTTGTGGTCTATTGCGTCTCCAGATTCTGGCCACTGCTTATATCAGGAACGAGCCCTGGGAAATGGGCGTGCATAAAAGGAATGGAGTAGTGTATCTCGACGTGCATAAATTGCCCGAAAGGCCACAAACTGAATTAGATCGTCGAATGTACAAAATAAAGATCTGTTCATTTAACTTTTTAAAATTTTGAGAGTTTGTGATATATAATCTCTTTTGAAAAATTTACCCGTGTTTCAATATTATCCGTTGATTGTTTTTGTTTTACCGGCCCTTTCGGCATAGGTGTTATTGGGGCTACTGTTTCGAGTCACTTGCGACCGAAGATCCAAAAAGGGCTGATGGAGAAGGAATACATCATGTTGATACAAATGTTGAGTTCTGCTCTGTGATCATGACAAAATTGGGAGCTCACCAGATACTCATGGGTGCCGAAATGGATTGCTGTGATTCAACTGATGATGGTAGGAGATTCTATGTGGAACTAAAGACCAGTCGTGAGGTTTGCATGGTTCGATTTTCTGATTGTTTTTTTCGGGTTCTGTTCTATTTACCGTACCTAGTTAGGTCGTCATAACTTGGATCTCTCATTAACTTGTGATTCCAGTTAAATGATCACACTGTAAAAAGATACGAAAGGGTGAAATTGCTCAAGTTCTGGGTAAGTTAAGTTGCCTTTCGAATTTTTGTCTTGAATTTACTTCACTGATATACTTATTAAGTTACACGGGGCGATTTTACTATCTTTCGTTATTTTTACAGTTTCTTATTGTATTATATAATGTAATCTTGTTACTTTCACTTCTATTTGCAGGTACAATCATTCCTTGCCGGTGTACCATATATTGTTATTGGGTACAGGTATTGTTTTACTCGGCTATGGTGTTCACAAACCTAAGAACCCGAACACTTTTCTTGTTGATTTGAACTTTTCTCTGTTTTGCAGGGATGACAATGGCCGACTCGTGCGTACAGAAAGACTTAAAACCAAAGATATACCACATAGAGTGAAGATGAAAAATTATTGGCAGGTAAATAATCATTATCTGTATACAAAAGTTACTGAATTCTTGATTTTATTAAGGTTTGCTGATCTCGTTTTTTATACAGGAAGGAGTGTGCTTAGCTTTTGCAGATGAGGTCTTGTGCTGGCTTTATGGAACTGTAAAAGAAAGTAAGAATCTTCGACAATATCTCATTTGACCTTTGGGAATTTGATTGCTCGGAAGTAGAAACATAATTATACGGACAAAGGCAAGAAAATGAAAACAGTGGTAGATTTAAAGCTTTTTGTCGTATTTATGATCAAACAAGACGGGTAAAACTAAAACAAAAACCCGAATAGTAGTGTCGCACGAACATGGCACGATGGCATGTCTATCTTTTCTCGATTAGTTTCCTAGGAACATTTATGTTAAAAGAACTTGACGTGCATTATTATCCTTGTTTGGCTGCAGATGAAGACTATACATTGAAGTTTTCGCCACCTTTCGACCGATTAGAGCTTCTTCAAGCTCAATCTTGTCCGGATGTGATCACAGCTCATTGTCGAACAATTATAATCAATTCGACGTGAATTTTTTCGTTTCAAGAATCCAGAACCTTAGCAATAATCGGCAATTGTTGAGCGATTTCACAAGATTTTGATGATATAACTGTTTCGTGATCTTTGATTTTGTCATGTTTTGGTTTTAGACACTAAAAAAATCTTTTTGCAATGTCCTAAAAATTAGTGTAATTCTCACTTCAATGCATTTTAGTGTTGTTAAAAACTGAATGCTGGGCTGCTTGTTGACTTTTACATACTCGCAATGTCGTTGACTTCCTTAAGCTAAGATCGTCTTCTGAAGAAAAAATGTGTAAAAGGACAATTGTAGTTCAACGCCTAACTGCAGTCTTATGTTGACTTTTGACAGTACCGTTTGACTCTGGTTAATTGAATATTTACTTTTAAAGTATGAATGAATTTGGTAAAATTGCCATAAACTATTAATAGAAATTAGTATATGATTATGTCACTTACTTTGACTAAATAAATAATTAGCAACTTTTAGGAAATTTCTGGTATAGCCAACATTAATGGAATGAACTTGATAAAAAATTGTAAATTATGTCCTAAGTTTGATTCATTTTTGCTATGAAGTTGGCTTATAGTGTAGCCAACTTCTATATACCATACCATATTAATAAAATTATATATGTTGTATATAGAAGATTGACTCCACTGTGAAGCCAACTGTTGGCTTTATAGCAAAACCGAAGTTTCGATGCAGGACAATAACACGAATGGATTAGTGAGCATTTTGTTTAAATATCTCGAGATTTTGTAAACCTCAAACTTTTAAAAAGTCTTAAAAAATCATAAAAAAGTCTAAATTGAATACAAAAAAAATCAGATATCTCATATAAATACACCTTAAAATTTGGAGTAGGAGAAAAAATGAAGATATTTTGTTTAGGAAACACTAATTGGCATTATAATTCACACTAGTTGGATCCTCATAAATCATAATCATTATACATGGGATAATTCTTAATTTGCATACAGATATAGAGAATCCACAAGTTGGGACAAGATTTATCACCTAATTGTGGTGCCTTTTGTGTTGGAGTTCACATTAAGGGACAGACAAAGCACATGCATGTTCACCAGTTTATGTAGGCTCTATGGATTAAAATAGAATGATTCTCATGGGAAAGGTCCCATAATCTCATTACATATTTTTAATAATCCAATCACAGCATATTAATGGAATCATCATTATTAACTTTTTTTTTTTTTTTTTTTTCTCTGGATGATCTTTTGTTTGCTTTATTAAAATGGTGAGTTTTTATTATGTATTTTTTTGTATTTAAATAAATTTAGTTTGATAAGCACTTTAAAAAAAAAAAAAAAAAAAAACTCGAGCTTATTTTTGGATAGTTTTTCAAATAAGTTAGTTGAATTTTTTGTATCAACTAGCTCATCAACTACATCTACCAACCACTTTTATCACATAAACTAGTTTTCAGCCAAACTTATAACTTATAAGCTATGGTTATAAATTCAAAATTCACTTAAAAGCTATAAACTAATTTATCAGTTTACCAAACATAGCTTAAAAAAAAAGAATTAAAAAACTAATAAATCTTCATTATAATAGAATGAATCAATCTTTTATAACTGAAATCAAATTTTTAAGTATAAACACCAAGCATAACTAACAGCGGAATAAAATATTGGTCTCAACAAAACACAAAAAATCACCTAAATATGGCCAAACACTGGCAAAAACAAAATGATAGCCCCATCTTATACACAAATGAAAAAAATAAAAATAAAAAAAAAATAGTCTGTACTCAATTTTTGTATGATTTTATACAAGTCATGATCAGGTAGGAAAACAGAAGAGTTATTAATTAATTACTTGGAAAAAAAAAAAACATTAATTAATTACCAAAAAGTGTGGGAAAAACAATCAACCTCTGTGCAACGGGGATCGATCTTTAACGACCATCTTCGACGCCTTGGAGCCCCTAAACACCGCCATCGGGCTCGGGAAGTGCCAGAATTTCCCCTTCGCCGGCGACGAACCGGCATCGGGCGGCGGCCGAATCCTCGACGCCGCCGAGCCGGCGCTGACGGACCTCGATCTCGTGATCATCCTCGCGAAATCGTCGATTCTGCCGCGGTCGTCGCGGCTCCCGCCGTCGAAACCCTCGATTTCCCCATCCGCCGCCGGATCGCGCCTCCTCGTCGTGCTCCGCCGCAGGATCGAGAGGAACGACGGCGATTTGGACGGGCCGCGTAGGAAGGGGATCGCGACGGATCTCGATCGGTTGAGCGAAGGATCGGCCTCAAAGGAGGAGGATGCCGCCACGCGGTCGGCGCACGCGCAGGGGCGGGCGGTGGCGCAGTGGGGGCAGAGGGTGACGAGGCGGTCGCGGAGGCAGACGGGGCAGATGCCGTTGCGCCGCCGCTTGGATGGGTGTTTTGGGCATTTCCAAACTTCTTCCTCCGGATAGCACGCCATGGGTGCGGCGGCCGGTGAGTAGCAATAACGTATTTATTTTTTGTTTTTTTTATTTGGTACTTTGGTGGAGTTGGTTTTGTGTGGGAACAAATAAAACGGTTGCAAGCTTTATTATGTGGTTTATATATAGAGAAAAGAATAATTATTATTATTAATATCGATGAAGGGTAAAAGGGGAATAAATGTTGAGGTCGTTGCGGAATTGGTAAATTCTGGCAGACAACAGACGCTTTGGTGATGTCACGTGTTTTGATTCACATCTATTTTCTATATTTCTTCCCACTCATTGGCAAAAATACATGTAGCATTTCTTCCTTGTACAAATTACAATACATGGAATCTATTACTATAAATATAGTAATAGAGTTAAGAAAAAAAAAAATTAGTAATTTTTTTTATTCCCAAATTTGTCGAAAATTACCTTTTTTGGCAACTTTTTTTGAAATATTTTTACTTATATCCTGCCTAATGGAATGATTTGTTTTTTAATAGGATTTGGTGAATCAACTTATTAATATACCCATATTTTAACTCATTTTTTTTTAGGAAGAGATCTGGTAAATTCTATTTTTGTGAAATTCGAGATTCACTTCCGTTTTTTTTGGATGAGATTTGGTAGAAATTGGATAGAGTGAATGTTAATCAATATCCTACAAATTCCAATTATTATTATTTTTTTTTTTGCCAATTTCGATTTTTATTATAGTAATAGATTCTTTTTTTTTTATTTTTTGCCAATTCTGATTTTTGTTATAGTAATAATATATTTCACTATCTTTTTTTTTTTGGAATCGATTACGTAATTACAAACTTGTAGGCCCTACTTATACAAAAGTTGGAGCAACCTCGAGCTAATCGTGAAAGGTAGTGTACATTAGAGAACAAATAAAATACAGGAAATTCATCAAGTGCTCAAGAAAATTTAGGTATGAAGTACATCATAGAACAATTCTAACTGCAGAAAATTCACTACCAAAATTGCACAAAGATTTTACTTACCATCAACATAACAATTGCGGTGTACATTATCCTATGAACAAAAACTAGACCAAATTGCAAACCCCTGAATTTACCTTCCAGCCTCTGTGGCGTCGAACATGAACGCGACGAGATACTTCCCCGGATTTGCCTCATCGGGCTCGATCCTCAACATCTCCTTCTTCAGATTAACGTCGTTCCGGATCGTGATCGCCTTCAACATCGGAATCGTCGTGAGGGGCGGCGCCCCCGAGTTGGGGTACTGCTACGGCGTCACCGCCGCGAACACGAGTCGGTTGGCGTTGATCTCCGGCTTCGGTGCCTGCGGAGGAGGCGGGGGAGGGTGAGGGTTGGCGTGGCTCTGGCGGCTCGAGCTCCTCCTCCGGTCGTGGACGCCGCTACTTCCGATGTTGCCCATATATGCCTTCTTTTATGTACGTAATAACTTCTGCGTCTAATTTTCCTCGAAAATTGCAGAGGAGAGTAAAAAATCGACGGAGAAAACATCGCAAAGGGACGGAAAAACAGCCGTGAGAACTCCGATTGGCGAGCGTTTGAGGGATGAAGGGGGTACGTACAGGGATGGGTGTATGTATAGGTGGGGTGGGGGAAAAAGAGGTGACAAGTGGAAATTTTGTAAAGTACTATAATGAGTGCTTATTAATTTGATGAAATCATGTAGTTATAAAGTATGTGTTGTATATTAATATGTTTGTAATTATTGTTGTTATATATTTTGATAGATTATTTATTTGTTTTATTTTAATATGTAAATAGATTATTTAGATACTATTATATATTCTATATTCTAATTGAGCACAATAGATTTAACAATAAAATAGATACTTTTTAACTAAAACTTTTATGATTACATATCATGCTTTACAAAAATATATCTATAGACAAGTTAATAATAATAACAACTAAATAAATATTATTATGAAATAAAACAACTTTTAAAAATGAATAGAAGGCATATATGTACACAATATTTATTTTGAATTTCTTCAAAAAAAATTAAATTATTTACATAACTAAATAATATTAATGTATATTAAGTATTTATCATTATATATATAAAAAGAATTAAACTATTATAAGCGTTATAAATAATAATAATAACATTATACGACAATAATTTTTTTTAAAAAAAATAATAGTGGAGTATTATGATGAATAATAATAAGTAAAAATATTATTTTGTTTACATCAAAAAATAAATATAGATGTTAAAATAGTATTTATCAATATAAACGATTATCAAGTTAACATATTATTAAAGTAAAGTTTTAAAAAATATTTTAAGAAAGGAGCTCACCTTGCATCGCACGGGATACACACTAGTACGTGTTGAAAAACTTAAATAAATTGAAATCCCCCTATATATTAATACAGAATGCGTTGAGCCTACGTGGCTGCTTCTGGTGCTTCGGAATCCTATGTGGCAAAATTACATGCTTCGTTATTAGGCTTGGATAAATTTTAATTTAATTCCAAACCAAAACAAATTAGGTTCGGATTACCATAAATATGTTGATTATTTATGGCCATGTTGATGTATTAATTGTATTTTAATATCATTCCTTATTATAACTATTAAATTGTATATATATTTTAAAAGTTAATAACTTTTGTATTTTTTATCAGTTTTATTGTATATATATTTTAAAATTTAATAACTTTTGTATTTTTTATCAGTTTTACATATGTAATATATCAAATTAATCTTCTTTTGATGAGCTTCGATTTAACATCCATATTGTATGTATAAAAAAATAATTTATATTTATCTTTATAACAATAATAAAATTATTTTTAATATTAATTAGAAAAATAAAATTATTTATCAACTAATATATTTATATTTCAAGTAGTTATATGATATAAGTTATAACAACTAATATAATATAACACATGTAAGTCATAAGTAACATATCTCATTCTAAAATATATAGTAATATTTTTTTTGTAACTAAATTTAATTTAGTTTTCTCATTAATTTTAAAATTTTAAGAATAATTTTTTAACAAACACCCGTGTAATACACGGGTGTTGTACTAGTGTAGTTATATATTGTAAGTTAAAAAAAATTAGTATAATATAACACAAGTAAGTTGCACAAATAAAAATTGTCATAATAAATATCTAATAATATATATATTCTTATAAAAGGTATTTAAATTTTCAAACTACTTTTTCTCATTAATTTTAGATTTTAAGAAAAAAAATTAACAAGCACCCGTGTAATACACCGGTGTTGTACTAGTATATGAATAGAACAGTGATACTCACCTACTGGGCATATGTTAATATGTTTATCGTTTATATGGCATGCACACATTGTTGATGTATTTTTTTGAACATATTAACATTACCAATGTGTGCATGTCACATAAGCGGTGGACATATTAACATGTACCCACCGTGGGTAGGGGAGCATTATCCATGAATAGAATTGGCATAATTTCACATAAAATCTTCACCTTGTTTGTAATTGCATATAAAACTCAATATTTTTATATTTGCAAATAAATACCAAGCATTTATTATGCGTTGCAATTTTTCTCAAAATCATTTTTCGGCCAAATCTTTGTTGACGTGTCCGATCTGAAATCTTACGCGACAGACTTATGTGACATAAATCTTTGAAACTCCTCACCATATTTTTGTCACATCATATGCGAACAAAATTAACCAAAATTAGAATTTAGTACCAATTGAAAAGAAAGAATTTTATTACCATATTTTTTGCTCCATAATATTCATAAAAATCAAGGTCTTCTCCCCAGTTGGAAAAAAGAAAATTGTAGCAATACTTCACTTCTCCATGACGCGATTCTTCACCCCCAAAATCAATTTCACCCCCAACATTGCGAAAACATTTACGAGCTCACCCTAGATTTTGAAAATTGGGCAGAGGGAGCAATTTGCGAGTGATTTTTAGGCGATTTTAGTGTTTTGATCGGACATGTCAGCAAGATTGGTTAGAAAATAGTTTTGAGACAAATTTACAACACATAATAAAAATTTGGTATTTATTTGCAAAGGTAAAAAAGTTGAGTTTTATTTACAATTACACAAAAAGTGAGAATTTTACGTACAATTAAGCCAATAAAATTTTATAAAATATAATTTTTTAGAGAAGTTGTTGGCATAATTTGAATAGTTTTTAAAATTTTAATTGATTTGGGTTTTTTATTACTTTTTTTCTTTTAAAAAAAAATCTACCAAGATAAAGTAAAAGAATATTTATTTCAGTCAATGTTTTAAGTACAAAACTAGATTTCCTGAAGTGAAGACTTGTGAGGTATTAGAACTTGTCTTCTTTACATATAGTCAATCTACCCAATTTTTACATATTATCTTTTCCATCTAAATTTCATGGATGTAGGTTTGTCAAAACGGGCCTAAGCCCAAAAGCGGTCCATTTAATATTTATTAAAACAACATCTTAGTTTCAAAATTATCTAACTTGTTTCCTAATATATGCATCTCCCATTTGTTTAGATTTTCTTTTTTTTTTTTTTAAATATTTTTTCATAAACCAAACCAAACTTCAAACAGAAACCTAACCTAACCTCTCATTCTCTCTCGGTGTTCGTGTGCGGACATTGGAGCGGCGACGGCGAACGGCGAGCGGCGACGGCGAACGGCGAGCGGCGAGGCAGCGGGAGTGACTGACTCCGAGCAGCAACGGCAAGGCAGCGTGTATTTCGGTAACGATGGCTGAACCTGAATTCTGAAAACGAATGACGATTTATGATTTTATTGAACTTATTTCTGAATTAATTTCGGTTTATTAAAATTGTGAATTCCGAATGGCTGAACCTAAATTCTGAAAATGAATCACGGTTTTTTGATTTTATTGAACTTATTTGTGAATTAATTTTGGTTTATTAAATTGTGAATTTTGAATGGCTTAACCTAAATTCTGAGAATGAATGATTTATTCGACTGAGCTATGGATTGATTTGCTGACTGTGAATGAAGACTGTGAATAGAGTTGTTGATGGATGTTAGGATATGTATTGTGTATGTTACAAATATTTGCTCCCATTTGTTGTACCCAGGTTTTTTTTTTGTTTTTTTGTGGATTCCTAGCTTGCTGTTTTGCACTTTTACTTTTTTTTTTTTAATGGCGGTCGGCGGCGGGGTTGGGCTGGAGTGCCATTTCACAGCCCACCGTGATGGTGAGCCGCCCCGCCCCACCCTTCCGGCCATGTGACATGGTTTCAATGTGAATAAGCCTTATATGCTCGACAAGCCCTGTAAGTTAATCTTCTTCAAAATAGTATCTTGCTCTGTTTTTGTGCGTGTGTGTGTGTGTGTGTGTGTGTGTTTTCTTGGCCTTGATGGTCTGAAAAACAAAAATCTTTTGTGCAGTTTAAGGCCTTGTGATCAAATATTGTGCGGTCAAATATTGTACGGTCACTTGACTGATTTATGCATATGCTTATTTGTCTGTTCCTTGTGAGTTGTGATCAAATATTGCACGGTCAATTCACTGATTTTCCGTGTATTAATATGTTACACTGGGTGAGCGAACATTTGATTGGCTGGTTAAAAGTAGATCATGCAATTTTGTCGCAGGAAACAAACTTTCGAGCTTGAAGTCTCTAATGTCCAGCACCGAACCCAAAAACCATCATGTTCGATTCACTTGATCACGAGAGTTAGTGGTGTGTCAACAAATGGATTGTCTAGTCAGCCCCGAGAGTAGTATTCCCGACTTGTCCAAACCAAATAATTTCTCAACACCGATCGACAAATATTCTTCAAACGTAGACATATTATCCGATGACCCGTTTGTCAAACGACAAAAAACACATTTTATTCTCGACGGTATCTCTAAAGCCAAGGCAAGTTGGGCCGTCAAAAACTCAAATAAACGTCCGGGTCCATCGACGGGACATACCCCTACAATGCCCGTCAACCAAAATCACGCCAAGGCCACTGAAAAGACCTTTTTACCCCCGAAACAGACCTCCGACAAGGAGGCCTCAACGAAAGATGTCCCTGTTGGGAAAAGGGCCCGGCCTTATTTCGATGAGTATTTCGGTCCCGAGAAGTTTGGTAGCTACGAAGAAATAATGGATGCCCTTGAACAGCGGGTTAGTAGCTACAGCTTAGTATATGAACATCCTTCTGTTCACAAACCTTTGAAGTGTATACTGAAGAAAAAACGGGGTCGTAAACCTACCAAGGAGAAAAGTAAGAAGTCGAAACCGAGAGCTGAACCTAAAAAGGTCACGCGTAAAGAGGCAAAGAGATTCCCTGATAACGTTAAGAGCTTGATAGTGACCGGCATGCTTGATGGGGTGGAGGTGAAATATGTTTCTTTTTCTTCGGGGGAGGTAAATTTTTTTTATCTACTACCTTTTTTTTAGCCCTTATCGTCTTGTTCTTGTTTATGGGTTTTATTGATTGTGTTGTCTTGATATGTGACCAGAAGCTTCGCGGGATTATTAAAGACTCCGGCTATCAATGTGGGTGCGATTCTTGTAATTATTCTAAGGTAAATTATCGAACTTTCTATTGTTATTACTTAACACATTTAATTAGCTAGATTTATTAAAAAAAAAAACACTCTTGAGATCTCTTGAGATGACTAAAACCCTCGAGATAAGTTGCAAATAGTATCATAAACTTTGATACCGTTTCATGTTTTGTTTCCCCTTCTACAAGGAACAAAAGAAACACCATCAAACTTTAGGGGTTTCTCAGTAATATTTGGAACTTCTCCCAGTATATACTATCCTTTAATTTTTATTTTTATTTTCATTAGACGATCAACGCTTACGAGTTTGAGAGGCATGCGAGTTGCAAGACTAGTCACCCGAACAACCACATACGATTTAAGAATGGGAAAAGCATCCACGAGATAGTTCAGGTGCTAAAAAGCACTCCGGATGACATGTTATGTGATGCTATACAAACCGTAACCGGCTCGCCTATAAATCAGAGTGCGTTTCTTGTTTGGAAAGGTATGAGATCATGATAAACTTACCTGTCAATATATATGTAAATGAGTCTTACTGTTTGCTACTTTCTTATATTTCTTATCTCTTTGTGTTGCTTCAGAATCGTTTGAAGCGGACATTCGAAAGCGTATTTGTGCAACGTTATAGCTGGTGTGAGGCTCGGATTAGATTATAATTTAGATGTTAATTGTGATGGGAAGTTGTCTCTTGTGTGCATAGAGGACATTCATTAATATTATCAATTTACTAGTACGTGACCCGTGCGATGCGGGGCCTGGTGTTAAGAAATGATGTGAATAAATTATAATTTAAATAAATACAAATTATTCATAAAATATTTGTAGAGATAATAAAAAAAGTAGGATGAAAATTTTATTCATT